AGCGGGCCCTGTGTGCATTGTCGAGAACAGCGGGCCCTGTGTGCATTATAGTCATTAGCAGCCTCTGTGTATATATTATAGCGAATAGCAGTCCCTGTGGACATTACAGAGAGTAGCTGTCCCTGTGAATATTACAGAGAATAGCAGCACCTGTGTTTATTATAGGGAATAGCAGCCTCTGTATATATTATACAGAGAATAGCACTCTTTGTGTATATTATAGTCATTAGCAGCCTTTGTGTATATTATAGAGAATAGCACGCTATATGTATATTATAGACAACAGTGGACCTGTGTATTGTATTGAATAGCAGTCCCTGTGTATATTACAGACAATAGCAGCCCCTATGTATGTTATAGAGAACTGCAGCCCTTGTGTATATTACAGAGAATAGCAGCCCATGTACAGTATATACAATAGCAGTCCCTGTGTATATTATCGAGAACAGCAGTCCCCAAATATTATACAGAATACAAGTCCCTATGTATATTATCGGGAATAACAGTCCCTGTGTACATTACAGAGAACAACAGCCCATGGAGATATTATAGGGAATAGCAGCCCCTGTGTATATTATAGATTAGCATTCCCTGAATATATTGTAGAGAATAGCAGTTGCTGTGTATATTATTGAGAATAGCAGCCCCTATAAAACAGCCCCTGTGTAAATTATAAGAATAGCAGTCCCTGTATATGTTATAGAGAATATCAGCCCCTGTGTATATTGTAGAGAATAGCAGCTCCTGTGTATATTGTAGAGAATAGCAGCCCCAGTGTACATTGTAGAGAACTGCAGCCTTGGTGTATATTTTAGAGAATAGTTGTACCTATGTCTATTATAGAGAATAACAGCCCCATGTATATTCCAGAGGATAGCAGCCCCTGTGAATATTATAGAGAACTTGCAGCCCTTGTGTATGTTATAGCGAATAGTTGTACCTGTGTCTATTATAGAGAATAACAACCCTGTGTATATTACAGAGAATAGCAGCCCATGTACAGTATATACAATAGCAGCCCCTGTGTATATTATCGAGAACAGCAGTCCCTGTGTATATTACAGGGAACAACAGCCCATGTATATATTCTGGAGAATTGCTGTCGCTGTGTATATTATACAGAGTGGCAGTCCCTGTGTATATTAGAGAACAACAGCCCAAGTATATATTATAGAGAATAGTAGTCCTTGTGTATGTTACAGAGAATAGCTGTCCCTATGCATATTATAGAGAATAGGTGTCCCTGTGTATATTATAGGAAAAAGCAGCCCCTGTGTATGTTATAAGAATGGCAGCCCCTGTGTGTATTATAGAGAATAGCTGTCTCTGTGTATAGTAGAGAGAATACTAGTCCCTGTGTATATTACAGAGAACAACAGCCCAAGTATATATTATCGAGAACAGCAGTCCCTGTGTATATTACAGGAAACAACAGCCCATGTATATATTCTAGAGAATAGCTGTCGCTGTGTAGATTACACAGAGTAGCAGACCCTGTGTATATTACAGAGAACAACAGCTCAAGTATATATTATCGAGAACAGCAGCCCTTGTGTATATTGTAGAGAATAGCTCTCGCTGAGTATATTATAGGAAATAGTTGTCCCAGTGTATAGTAT